GGTGACACTGCAAAGTAATCCTGGAAATTGCTTTGTTCCACAGAGCAGGTACTCCTGGGCAGCCCTGGCAGCCCTCCCTCCTTGCCTTTTGCCCAGCAGCCCCTGTCCAGCCCTGCCGTGCCCTGGTGCCACCTGGCACATTGCTCTGCCTGAGATGGTGTTATCAGCCCTGTGTCCATAAACCCCACAGGCAGTGGCTCTCCCTGGCTCTTCCCAGCTTTTCCCAGGCTCCCAGCTCAGCGTTATCACCCAGCAGATAAGGGCAGCCTGTGATTTCCCCAGCTCTCAGCTGCTTTGTGCCACCTGGCTCCCAGCTTTGAGTAAGGAGCCTCCTTCATTCCTTCCTTCCTTCCCGTCCTCCTGGCACCTCCCTGCCCAGTGCCCTGCTCCTGTTGGTACAGCTCCATGGGAGGATGGCTGGGTTATGCTGAGAGTGGTTAAAAATGAGTTTTAAACTCTCCTTGCCCTTCCCTCCCTCCACAGCTCGCAGTGCACTCAGATTCGGGCCTGGATTTGCACATTCTTGCATCAAGTTTGGAGATGGAGAAGATGGAACTGCCTGGTTCCCATCTGTGAGTTCTGTCAGAGCTGGGACAAACCTTCCTCCCCACCCTGACCTGCTGGGCTTGGAAGGCCCTAATTAGTGTCACACACACACGTCTATGTGTGGCAGGTCTGACTTACTTAGAAAACCCATCAGACTAAGTAACAGGAAGAGGCCCATCCTAATGCTTGAAATGCATTTAATTTAATTTAGTCACATCATTCAGTGCTTGGCAAAATCAAAAAAGAAGAGCTAAAATGAGCTGCTTTTAAAGGCTTCCATCAAGGATGAGACAAATGCCAAGTAAAAATTGAGTGGTTGGAGGTGAGAGGGCGTAATACAAAAGGAAAGATGCAATGAATCAGAGTTCTTAGGTAATCAAAATACTTAAGCCATAAAGTTATCAAAAAGAAATAAGTTCTGTCCTTATCTCAGGATATCATGTGCATGTCACTGTGCATGTCACAATTATACTGCAAGCAAGAAAAAGTATTCTGCACAAACATCTGTGCAGAATTGCTGCACTTTCAGTGTGTGTCATGGCCCAATGTTGTCACCAAGAGTCAAGAAGTAATTGGGTGATAAAACTTTCAGAGTGTTGATGTGTTAGAAGGCTTAGTTAAATAATTGCTGGATTCTGTGTGTTTTCTTACCCTGCTTTCATCCAGTCTTTCAGCTCTTTGCTTCCTCAAGGCTAAAGCATAGAACATTAAAAAAAGTCACAAATTCCACTGAGTCCCTTTGCAAACAAGCAAATGTATGGGGGAATTAAACTGCACCATCAACTTAGAACTTGGAACCCTCCAACCCTGCTTACATATGCCTAGAGCCATTTATTTGGTTATTCAGCCACATAGTGACAACAGAGTCACCTCAAATCATCATCCAAAAGTATAATTAGACCCATGAGATAATACAGTCCACAGTTTGCAATGCAGCAGCAGTTGGAAATTTTATTATGTTCATGTTAATTCTTAGTACTTCTAAAAAAAATTTTCATGTGTTACAGAATTTAGGAGGGGAGGAGAATTTAGGTAGGAGGGGAGATCAAAACATGTGGCAGGTTCTCATTACTAGAGGTAATTTTGGATAATATTCAAGTTTTTCTTTCCATCTCAGTTCTGACATCTGTTTTTCACATCTCCCTTACATCTGGACCTAAGAGAATCAAAATTCTCAAACAAGTATGTATGTTGTCCCTTCTCGACAATGCTTTCCTGCAGTAGGAATAAACAGGATGAAAAAGTTTCACTTACTGTAAAATAAAGTAATATTTTATAACATATTTGACAAGTTGTTTCCAAGTAGAGCATTGCCTTGTCTCAGAAAAAAATATTTCTTTTTCCCTGACCTGTTTTGAGTGACTGTCTCATTCTGTGTAGAGCACAGCCACTGATTGAGCTCACAAGAGAAATAAATGGATATATACACTGATTAAAAAATATACCTCTAGATTTGCTCCCAAAAGTTAAAAAGTGATGAAGAAAGTAAGATTTTCTTTTGAATTTATGAATTAAGAAGATAGTAATTTGCAAACTGAACTTCAGTTGCAGCAATTCGTATCTCCTGCAGCATTTGGATTTATTTAGGGAACCTTTTCAGGCACTGAGTTTGCTCCAGCTCCTGCCCAGCTGGTGGGAACCCCTCCATGGTCCTTCCTTGGAACAGGCTCAGAATTTTCCTGAGTGCTGAAGCAAACCCAGGGTCTCCCTCAGGCTGAGGATGATTTCCCTGGTGAGTTCCCAGAGATTTCTGCCCTGAGGCTACACGCTGTGGCAAGGACAGGAGATACCTGCAACAAAATGCTGATCACATTGTTAGGTGGGAGATTTTCTCTGCAAGACCCACAGCCCCAAGCCAGAGTCCTGAGGAATAAATGGTATTTTTGAACACTTACTTACATTCTGAAGAGGTATCAGTAGGTGAAGCCTTGCTGTAAAGAAATGCTATTGAATGTTAGAGCCTTGTAAAACACAAATCACATCTTGTTAATAACAGAACACGAGATGTGAATAGATCTGAGTCCCTTCTTTTAAGGTGAAGGACAGCCTTTGAGATTCTGCTTAGGTCTCCTTAAAACTGAAGCAGGAAAATGCAGGACATACAGTCCTTAAATTAACAACTGGAGAAATTTGCAGGGAACATTTTATAAATAAAGAAAAGGATTTACCTGCTCCTCTTAATTTACTCGGCGATTTTGATCTTAAAAAAAAAAATAGAGAAGAATGGTTAACAAAGCTGGCAATGAAGTCAAGTGTAGGGCTGGGTACTGTCCCCCTGGATCTCATGGTCAGAGATAAACCAGGAGGGGATGGGGCTGGGCAAACACAGAGGATGTTCCCTGACAGTGGGACTGAGCACCCAGAACTTGGGAAGTTGATGGGAGCAGGAAACCACATCAGAGAGAGGAGAAATTGGCCTTGCACTGCTTAGGAGCAGACCTCCTCATTATCCACAGAAACCTGCCCCCTCCCCACAGCTCTCAGGACCCCACCCCAGCCCCTCACACCCTGGTGGAAGGAGCTGCCAAGGACTGGGGTCCCTGTTACCCACGGTGTCAGCAGGGCTGGGTCGGGGCCGCTCACCGCGCACGTCGTCCAGCAGAAAGTCCAGCTGCAACAAAAACTTCTTTTTCTGGGTCTCATACTGGGTCATTAGTCTGTCATTCAGCTGCACTGCCTCCACCTTCACATCCTCCACCTTCACATCCTCAGTGACCAGATCCAGACTCGCAATCCTAGGGCACACAGGGTCACTGCACCAAGAAAAACCATCCAGCATCCAAAGGTAACAGAATTCTTCACTAGGACAGAGTCTGCAAAGAGGAGAGGGCTTTGGCAACATGAATTATTGGGTTAACAGCCCTTTGTGAAGGTTGAATTCCAATTGTTACATACTGTTACTTGGGAATGCCTTATTCTAACCAACCTGCACTGGAACTTTCAAATGCTGATAATGAGAGAGGAGGAGGTGTTTTGATAATCCCCGTGTGTGAACAGGGCCTTGACTTGCTGCAGGCAGGCTCTTACTGTTGTAGCAGTGCCAGAACAAGAATGCCACATGTATTAAATGGTGTCCAGGTTTCTGGAAAAGTACCTTGATCCCACAGGCTAGGATGTGACTTGCAGCACAGCTGTGAGTAACAGACTGAACTGCAGCCCTGAGGTACTCAGTGATTCCAAGCTCTGCTTACAAACCGAGTGTTTGAACTCAGCTTTAATCTGTGCAAGTTACCGAGGTGACATCTCAAATTCCAGGTAGATGTGTGAGACAGCCTTTCATCCAGCTGGGGCCTGCCGTGCTGCCGCAAAGCCTCTCGTGGATGTGGAACTGTTGGTGCAGCGTTGCACCACTGAATTACAGCTGACACCCAGGAAGTGCATAGGAAGTGGTAGATAAAGATAATAATAAATCCTTCTAGCTACCAAGCTTGTCCACAACTCAAAAACTTGCTGGGAAATGAGCTCCAAGGTGACAGCCAGGTCGGCCATACATGTGGGGTAAGTCCAGAGGGCCTGGGAGTGCAGCGCCTCCTCAACGCGCAGCCGGCAGAAGCTGCGGCCGCAGCTCAGCGCCATCGGCCCCCGGTACAGCTCCAGGCAGACGGGGCAGGTGAGCTCGGCCTCCAGGATGCCAGCCCCTCCACACGCCTGCCGAGCTTTGCCGATGGCTGCAGCAGGAGCACAGAACCGAGACCGAAACCAGAGGCAGGCAGACAGCCCGGGGCCCTGCCAGCCCGCCCCCTCCAGCCCCTTCCTCCGCCCCAGCCCAGGCCGAGAAATGTTCCCTCTGCCGGCTCCGCCTTTCCCTACGCTGTGGCAGCCGCTCCGGGAAGTTTTCCCTCAATCTCCAGCAGGGAACGCTGCCCAGCCTCTCCTCGCCTCCCAGGGCAGCTTTGCTTCTGCACTGGCTGTGCAGGATGGAAGGAGGCGGCAGAGGCAAAAGCTGCCGCCTTAGATCAAAGATCAGCATCGCTGCTGCCCAGTGGTGTAGCAGTTAATGCTGTGCTGTCAACTTTGAGATAAAATAAATTGCCATCGCGTTTAACAAACTAATAACATGACTTTATTAACATGAACCTAACACGGTATTTAAAACAGCTGAGCAAAAATGCCCAACTTAATGGTATTTCCATTATGATTAAAAGAACAATAAGACAGGAGCTCTTGCAGGAAGAGGCGGGGTGCTGTGATACACCCACATCAGTTTCGGATCTGCCAGCTTGGCATAGCCTCCATGCAAGGCTCACAATTTCTAAGCCTGAAAAAACAAAACAACACCTTGTAACCACATTACTAACAGGAGCTTCATCACACTGATGGCAGCATGGATGGGATACTTGAAAGGGATGGTTCCAGTCTCTCTAAGCCTGAAGTTCTTAGCAGGATGTCCAGCCTTGACAGACACATCATGAAAAGACAGTGTTTCTTCTACCATGGATGTCTTCGACCTAAGGAACACACAGAGGCAGCATTCAAACCAGGCACAAACAATTCCAAGCTTCCAGCAGCTCTCATTGCTGGTCTCCTCCTCCCAGCAGCTCTGGGATGGCACTGTGTGTATTGGAGTCCTGTCCTGGTTTGGGCTGGGATTCATTCTAATCCTGAGAACTCCATTCCAGAGAATTCATTCTCTTCTCAGCAGCTGGTACAGTTTTGGGCTCAGTAGGGAATAATGTTGGTAACAGAAAGATGGTTTGGCTGTGGCTGAGCAGTGCTAGACCTGAGCCGAGGAGCTTTCGGTGAATCATGCTCTGCCAGCGAGGAGGTGCACAAAAAGCTGGGAAGGAGCATAGCTGGGGCTGGTGACCCAAAGTGGCCAAAGGCATATTCCACAGCACAGAACACCATGCCCAGTGTATGAACTGGGGGCAGATGTCCACAAGGAGCCACTTGCTGCTCGGGAACAGTGGCTGGACATCAGGGAGCAGGTGATGGGGGAGCAATCGTGCTGTGCACTAATAGTTTTGGTTGGGTTTTCTCTCTCTCTTCCTCCTTTCTATGATTGTTATCATTATGATTGCCACTGAATTTGTGTTTCGTTAGGCTAGTTGTAAGGAAAATGAGAGGTAGATCCATAAATGGATCCATAGTATGTTGTACCACCACTAAATGACAAGGGACCTAAAGAGAAAAAATGCATTGATTACCAGATAATTGTGGACATTTGGAATCTGCCTCTGTCCTGACCCGAGGCCCGCTGCCAGCAAGAGCTGAAGCAACATCCAGAGAACAGTACCTAGGGAACCCTAATTTCACCAATTCAGTCAGACAGGTGTCCCCTGTGCACAGCTCTGGGACTGTGGGCTAAGCTTGCAAAGCATTGCAAAGGAGTAGAAATATTTACACAGGAAGAGGAGGTTATTTATGTCCAACACTGCTGCTGCTGCTGGGATGAGTTCTCAAAATCCCATTGAATCAGAGAGATGCCAAAGAGGTATTGCTATTATCTTCTCTTAATCCTACAAAACTCCTGAGACTTCCCAACCTCTTCATCCATAGCCTGCTTTAGCAAGGTGCATTCAAGGCATGCCTCAAAGCCCTGAATGCCAGGACCAACTCCCTTTGCTGCACACACATGTGCAAATAAGCACACGTGTAAGGAATTAGCACTTCTAGAGGTACTCAGTGTACTTGGTGCCTCATTATAGTCCTTTCTTAAAGATGTTTTATTGACTTCCCCATTTGCTTTTGACACGGTGAAATGAGCACTTACCAGTAGATGTTGCAAATCCCCAAGATGATATGGGGATAGGTTGCTGCTTAAAGGAGACCTCCATGTTTGAGATGAATTGCTGGAAAAGTCTCAGAATCTCATCTTTTGTTGATTTATCCAAAGTAATGGGTGGCTTTAGCACAGCTTCCCTTTGAGGAAGTGGCTGGCATTTCCTAAAACACACAGAAGGAATCACAGAATCACAGAGGTGGGAAAAGACCTCCAAGGCCATCGAGTCCCAGCTGTGCCCCATGCCCACCTTGTCCCCAGCCCAGAGCTCTGAGTGCCACCTCCAGCCCTTCCTTGGACACTCCAGGGACAGGGATCCAACCCTCCCTGGGCATTTCCAGTGCCTGAGCCCCCTTTCCATGGGGAAATTCATGCTGTGCCCACCCTGAGCCTGCCCTGAGCCCCCTTTCCATGGGGAAATTCCTGCTGTGCCCACCCTGAGCCTGCCCTGAGCCCCCTTTCCATGGGGAAATTCCTGCTGTGCCCACCCTGAGCCTGTCCTGAGCCCCCTTTCCATGGGGAAATTCCTGCTGCTGCCCACCCTGAGCCTGCCTGGCCCAGCCTGAGGCCGTTCCCTCTCTCCTGTCCCTGTCCCTGGAGCACAGCCCTGTCCCCCCAGGCTGTCCCCTCCTGTTATCGAGAGTTCCATCGGCAGCAAAGACATTAAACCTCAGAAGAGCTTACCTGCCTTTGATCGCTGAAAAAGCCTGTAAAGACATTTTGAAAGCAGAATCAGCACAGTGCAGGCACAGGCCAGCCCTGGAGCTGTGTGTCTCTGGGAAGGGGGATGCTGATAGGTACCTTGGTGAAAAGAAGCGTGTCCTTCTGATTCCTCAGAGCCTCCAGCTCCTGAACATCCTGGCTGGCCAAATCCTTAATCCTCTTGTGATTATCCACCTCTGTCTGAATCTTAGAAAGTTCTTCCTCCTCATAATCATTGAGAACTTTCAGGACCTCCCCTTTTTTCTTCCCTAGCTCCTTATACATCTCCTTGAACAGGCCCTCCAGCCGTTCCCTTCGCTGGCTCTCATCGATCTATTAAGAAAAGAATTTCAAATTTGTAAGGGAGATTTTCTACATTAGCTCTTACTCAGAAAAAAAAATCGGTCTTTTTTCTGGGATTAAAAAAAGTAACTTAACGTTGAAAGTTGGAAAAATAAAAAAGCCACACACCAGCCACTCATTAGGAGGCACAGACTTTCAAGTTTAACTAAGAATGGATCTCCCAGACTGATAAGAAAGTTCTGCATCGTCCTTTCTCAAAGAAGAAATCTCAAAAATACAGGAGAAACTACCCAGGAACTAAAAAAGCTTCAGAATCCATGATCTGGGGAAGGGCAAAAGAAAACTTTATCTCATTATTTACCAGCAAGCAACCACCCAAGGTGATATGGGACCTTGAAACAAACCTTTAGTCTGTCCATTTGTTTCAGCAGTTTTGTTATGGCTTTATCCACGGCAGCTTCATGGTTTTTCAATGTTTTCAGAATTCCAGTTAAAGATACCTACAAATATCATGGGAAGGAGATATCAGGAGAGGACTGGCATAATGCACAAGATCAGCAGTTTTATCGACAGGGGTTAAGCTGGACTTGCAGAAGGTCTGCTCACTGCATGCTCTCAGGACAAATCAGTAGATAAAGGTTCACCGGAAGGTTTTATCCCTGAACAAATGCCACAATTACAAGCACAAAAAGGACATTTTGAAGCTGAAAACTGTTCATGTGCACTAGCCACATACAAAGCTATTTCCCCTGTTGGCACCTTTCTTTCTGTTACTCTGTCATTAATTATCTTTGCATAAGTGCAGCTCAGGCTCATCTTTGCCTTGGAGGTGCACCAAGGACTAAAACCTTGCAGGAGCACTCAGTCCCACCAGTCTGGCCAAACTCTTCCCTCAGGAGGGGAAAAAAAGCATTTATAATATCTTGTTTTATATCTCAAGGGCCAAAGCCAGAGAGAATCTGGGACAAAACTCAGAATAAAAGCCCAGGATTGCAATTTAGCCCCGTGCTGGATCTGCAGTTCTCAAACTCAGGAGCTGCCCCTGTGCCATGGGAGCTCTCTGGGGTTTTCCTGGTGCAGGGGCAGCTCCTGAGTTTGAGAACTGCAGACCCAGCAGTTGGGTCAGGGCCAGGGCCACCGCCCCAGCAGCCTCTTACCTGGGCTTCGCTGAAAGCCTCCTCCAAGCTGATGATCTTGTGGTTCTTGTGGGAGATGACGGAGCACAGGACGCAGATGCACTCCGAGTCACTCTCACAGAAGCACTCCAGCAGCTTGCCGTGCTGGGGGCATCTCCTCTCGGCCAAAAGCTGCCCGTCGCAGGGCTCCACCAGCACGTGGCTCTTCTGCCCGTTCCGGCTGTTGTGCCTGCTCAGGTGCGCCTGGCACAGCGAGGCCTCGCAGCTCAGGCACGTCTTCACTGCGGGCTGCGGCTCCTGGAGGCAGGAATCGCACAGCACCACCTGCCCTGCCTGGCCCGAGCTTTCCCCCTTCTCCTTGCCTTGCCCTTCCTGCTTTTCCTCCTCTTGGTGCGCGGGACCGTCCACGAACCTCTGCACGATGTTGCGGAGGTGGAAGTTGGCCCGCAGCTCCCCGACGGGCGAGTGGCAGAGCGGGCACCGGGCAGGGCTCTGCTGGCCCCGGAGCGCCTGCTTGATGCAGTCCTTGCAGAAGCTGTGGCTGCAGCCCACGCTCATGGGCTCCTTGTAGATGTCCAGGCAGATGGGACAGGTCAGCTCTTCCTTCAGCCCGGCCATGGCCTTTGCCTGGGCCATGGCTCCAGCTCCGGGCAGGGCTGACAGGGAGGGCTCAGCTGGGAAACGAAACTTAACCCGGGCAGTGAGGAGGAGCGAACTTCACCCCGCGGGCTGAAGGCTGCTGCCTCCTCCCCTCTGCAAGGGAGCGTCGTCCCTGCCCTCTCTGCAGCTTCCTGCCTCTGGGGACACGTGGGCAGGGGCTGAGGCTGTCCCGAGGTTGACAAAAAAAAAGCAACAAGTCGTGTTTAATTAACTCTTGGAAATTCCTTTCATTTTACCGGACAGGGCTTTGTGCTGTGGGCAAGCGGTTATCTCAGCCGTAAAGACTGCGAGCCTGAGATACGCTGGTAGGAACTAATAACCTGGTCTGACCACAGCAATGGGATGCATTCAAAGAGAAGAAACATTTTTGGAGGTCTGTGAACAAAAAAGAATAGTTGGAGAAATGGGATGTTCCCCAAACGACTAGCCAAGAACCTCAAAAGAACCCTACTCCAATGAAAATAAACTCTGAGAAGTGATTTAAACATGCAGAAAATACAAGGGAGTGTTTAGCATATAGGTATAAGTTTGGGGAAATAGATATGTAAAAGCTCCATAGATTAAAGCTGGTCGGTCAGCAAGGTGTGCTGTGTGTAATAGGGAGTTATGCCCCGCATGCCTGGGGCTGAAATAAAGAAATGCCACTTTCTAATATTGAAATTACAGTGTTAGAGAGTTTAATTCCCCAGTGACAGCAAGTCAAGCTCCTCAGAGCAGCTCGAGGCTGAGAGCTTGGACACCTCAAGGGCAGCATGGCAGAAGGTCCAGCCCTGCTGTGATGGGTCAGGAAATGAGGCAGGAAGGAAAGCTGGGAAGAATCCTTATGGGCAGGGAGGCTGGGACAGCTGGACCAGCAGCCAGAGAGCAAAGGAACCAGAGCCGTTCCCTTCTGCAAAGACTCCTGGATGGAGCTGGACAAGAGGCTGGGACTGATAAACCCTGAGTGAGCAATTGTGTGGCTTACCTGAAGTGCAGCCTGCAGGGCCCCAGGGCAGAGCTTGTGTGGCCCAAAGCTGAGGTCCCTGTCAGGCAGCTCCTGTGCCAGCAGAGCCCAGGGCAGGATTTGGTGTCAGGTGCCACTGCTGAGGGCACAGGTGGGAGCTGGGACTCCAGAAAGCAGCCCAGGACAGCTCAGCAGGCAGTGAAATGGAGTGCACACAGTGGGCACTGCACACTGGTCAGGAGCAGCAGCCTGGGGTGGGCTGCCCCCACTGCCAGGTGCCAGCCAGCCCAGGGCACCAGCAAAGCTGTCCCTGTTCACAAAAGCTCCTGAGTGACTGATTTTCCCCTCCCACAAGGCACACTGTGCAGGGAGATAAATAACACTGCCCCCTCCACTCCAGCAGCCTCTGAGCCACTCCAAAACAGCTCCAGTGTGTGTGAAAAAGAGTTGTTTTATCACAAAGTTCTGCCAAAATAAAAACAGGCCAGCTGGGATTTATCCCAAATGGTTGGAAGTACTTGCTGGGACCAAGGGAACTGATGAACTGGTGTCAACATTTACCATCCCTTCATGCAGATTCTAGGTCTGCTTGCAGGAATTATCCTCAAGAAACAATTGTATTCAATAAACAGACCAGTGCTTTATTTTCCAGGAGGCTGTCTGGGAATGCAGTGTTGGAGGCACAGGTCGGGGTGTGAGGACAAACATCAGCTGTGGGTCTGTCCCTTCCTGCAGGCCCTTCCCTTGTGTGCCCCTGTCCCTCCTGGGAACTCACTCCTGAGTCTCTGCTCCACATGTGCCTACCCTGGGCACCCCATCACTGGCTGTCCCTGCTGCATTCCCACATTTCCCCCCTCCAAATTCATATTTTCATCTGTTGGCATCACAGTGCCTGATGTAGCTCAGAAAAACATTCCTCTCTGGTGGCCTTGAAGGCTGCTGGTTGTGGAGAGCAGCAGGGAATGGGCTTCCCATGGATCTGCAGCAGTGGCAGGGATGAGGGGCTGGCTTTGGGGGTGGGAGGCAGGTTCCAGCTCTGTGCCCAGCCCGGGGGACCCACGCTGGGCTCCCACAGATGTGCTGGAGACAGCAGGTGCCGAGCTGCTGCCTGCATCGGTGCCAGTCAGCAAAACCCAGCAGCTGGCACAGCTCACCACCTCACAGAGCTGCTCCTTTCGGGCTGCTGGGATCCCCCAGCCCGGCAGCTTCACCGACCCCTGGTCTGGATAAAACCAGTGCCACCCCTGCAGCCTGGTGAGGCCTCACAGGGCATGGCTGGCACGGGGCTCCCGTGTGCCCGGGGAGCTGTGCCTGTGCTGGGCCTGCCCCTGCCTTCCAAACATCCCTCCCAGAGCCTGGACTGCCCCAAGGACCAGGACACCAGGACACCAGGACACCCGGACACGGCCCTGCCTCCGGGAGAGCACTTGGGCTCCCAGGGCTGCTCCCCTGGCTCCAGGGCCTCTCCAGCTGCCAGCCTCAGCTGCACGGCTGCTGCATCACCACCTGCAGTCATTTCCACATTTTTTTCCTGCTCTCTTACTCCACTCCAGAAATTTCGAGGAGCGTGCCCAGCTGCATTTTTCACCCACTCCATCTGAGGAGTTTCTTCAGGAAGGGTCCTGTGGCAATGGCACCATCCAAGTGCAGAGTGCAGAGCCCAGGTTTTTCCTGCATGACTTAAACTGGGAGAAGGCACACTTAAACTAGCAACAGACAGCGATATTCCCAGGCAGGAGCTGCATCCCTGGCAGCTGGCAGGCTCTGCCACCCCCTTGGCCCTGGCACAGCCCCACTGCCATCCAGGCAGAGCAAAACACCTCACCCCGAGCAGATTTGCACTAAAAACTAAAGTATAGCAGCACAAGCTGGTTCCTTTTTTTGTTCTTTCCACTTTATAGTATATATGTTATCGTTTATTTATAGGCAGATCACTTCACTATTTACAGTACATGAGCGTAGAGATTCTACAGTCTTTTTGATGTAAACAAGAAACTCCACGGCAGGGGAGTCTGGAAAAAGAAGCCAGTTCTGAAGTATTTACACAATTTAAAATAGAACTTTTATACCCACTGGATAGATATAGAGAATACATTGAGCGATTTGGTTAAATTATCTATGAAACTATAGAATCTGACAATGTAAAAATACAAGAAAACGTTCTCTCATTTTAGAAGGTAGACAGTTAAATCACACTAGAAATAAATCTCTTTTCTTTTTTAAAAATAATAACAATAATAATAAAGGAAAGGCATAAGAATCCATGCCATCTCTTAAGGTTAAAGTATATTACATAAATAAGGACACAACAGAACGGAACCGGGGGAAAAATTAAGTGAAATATAAAAAAAACCACTACCAATTAAAAAAAATACTAAAAACTTGATTCTTAATCATAGAGGGATCAATTCTGCTTTTACTTACTCTGCAAGTAGAAAATTGCAGAGTTAAGTAATACTTAGCATGAGCAACAGAGGCAGAATTGGCCCCTAATAATTATGAGCAGTGTCCTTTTACATTAAAATTAAAAAAAAAAGAAGAAAAACACAGAATTTAGCTTTTTAATATAAATAACAAAGCAGATGTGCCCCTTTTTAGGTGAAATTCTTACACCTTTCTGAAGAAATGCATCAATTGAACCGTTCTCTCTTTCTCACATGCACTCACACACTCCCTCCCCAGCTCCTGCTGCTGCCCCTGGCCCCGGGGAGGGCGAGGGAAGAGGAATGAAACCCCAAAATGAAACCCCAAGGCTGCATTTGGCTCTGTATTGCTTGAGATTGTCAGGGATGGACTAAGAACGGAACGGGTGTTGGGTTCAGCTCCAACACCGGTACCTCAGGACCCAGCAGACCTCCAGAAAGAAAAAAAAAATCCCCAAAAAAAGGAGAAAACCGTGTTGATCTGCAATTGCAAAACCCATTTGCACGGTGCAGAGCTGAGATCAGACCCAGGACTGCAACAAGGTGACTGAGCTGCTGCTTCCTGAAAGATGTGCAGCCCTCAGCTGTGCTGAAGAAATGAGAGAAACCTTTGTCTTTGGGGCAGCACCCGACCTAAAACCTGGGATTGTCCTCTGCATTCAGCCCACACACTCAGAAACGTTTGCTCCTCCCTGCGGAGCCTCAGGGACACGCTGGATTCCAGCCAGAAACCTGCTGCCCCCAAGAACAACGAGTTTTTCTGGGATAAACCTGTGCAAAACAAGCAAAGGGGCATTTTATCAGAAACTCTTCACACATTCAGCATTTGCCCACAGCACCTGCAGGAAACAGCTGGGGCACGTTCTATACTTACACAGTTTTAAAAAAATAAATCTCCTCCTGACTTATTGCCTACCAGAATAAACCCTTTTGCTCCCAGTTTCTCCTGCCCATGCCCAGCCCCAGCCCTTGCAGGGGGCTGGGTGTGAGGGGTCCCACAGGCTGGGTGGGATGGAAAGGCAATCCTTGGGAAAGGGGGAATCCCCAGTCCCTGGCAGCTCCTGCAAAGCTCTGGGCACCTCTGGCTTCCCTGGCAGCAGTGCCTGGGCATTGCTTTGCTCCTGCCTCATTTCCCTGTCAGAATCCAAACCTTAGGCAGCTCAGGAGGGAGCTCTCACCTGCTCCTGTGCCTGACCCACCTTCCTGCAGACTCGAGCACTGTGAGCTAAAGACACCTTTAGAGTTAAAAAAAAACAAAAACAAAAAACCACAAAATTAAAAAAAAAAAAAATCAAGTGGAAATTTATATTTCACCCAGTCCTAAGAGGTGGGGGAAGCCCCAGGGCAGGCAGCACACAGCCCAAGGGGCTCTAAGCATAGTGCATAAGTCTGGAAAGGAAAGATTATTTTGGGGAGGAGGGAAAACAAACCATCCCAAGTGAATGGAAAAAAAAGTAAAAAGAAAAAAAAAAAAAAAAAAAGAAAACCCAACCCCACTTATAGGCTTCAGGCACCACAAAGACCACTTATTGCATCTCTTCCTACCCTAGGGCTGCAGTACTGATGAGCTCTGTGCAGGACCAACCCTCCCCTTCCCCAGCACCAGCCTTGGGACCCAGCAGCTGGGCTGGGGCCGACCCAGGGCACCCGGCCACAGGAAAACACTGGGAAATTCTGGGTCTGGGTCCACCAAAACCAGTGCTTGGGAAGTGACTGAGTGATCCCCTGGCGTGGGCTGGAGACCCCCAGCTCTGCACTAACCCTTCCCCTCCACCACCCTTGATGCATCCCCAGTGGGGCCCAGCCATGGGTGCCCCCAGCTGAGTGGGAGATGGAAGAATTCCACTTATTTGCTTTTTTTTTTTTCTTTCTTTTTTTCTTTTTTTTTTTTTTTTTTTTTTTTTTGGTTTTTTTTCTTTTGGATTGATCGTTTTCTGAAAAACATCAGCACAGCACAGGACAGTACTACCCACCCTAAATGTGTCGCTATATACATTCTACATAAGCTCTATAGCAATCACATGTAAACATCATCATCGTGAGGAAATACTAGGACAGAAAAAGGCAAAGCTACAATGAGGCAATTGCCAATAGCAGATGCTCAGTCTCGGCCAGAGCTGCTCATGGTCGCTAAGGTGGGATGAGAACCGGGGCATTTTGGGGTGGGAGAGACGCCAGATTTCACTGCTGAGGCTGGAAGGGCACAAGGACTGTTCCCTGGCAGCGATGGTCACCGGCGGCGCGGCGGGGACCCCGCGGTGGCCTCTGGGCCCCGGCGCTGCCGGGCTGGTGTTGTCAGAACCACGGCTCTCCCGAGGGAGCAGCCAGGGAACTGTGCTGGTGTCGGCGCTGCCGGCATTCCTGCTCCTGCCAGAGCCCAGCTGCGCTCCAGGGCCCACCCTGGCAGGGCTCCGGCTCCTGGCCTCGCATCTTGTGCCAGTTCCCAGGCTTTGGTGGCTCTCCCTGCAGGACGGAACATACCCAGGGAAGCAGGGATAAAACCCCCAGGTCACGGGGAGGGGAGACCCCAGGAGACTCTAATCTATCTATTGGCAGAGTTAAGGCTATAATATTCTATCTACAGAGGATGGCTGAATCCCTAGTGGTCTCTGGGGCTCAAAAATAAAAGGAGAAGGTGGTGATGGCTTGAGGAGCGGCGAGGTTCCCGCTCCCTTGGGAAAACAGTGCCTCTGGCCGGCTGGTGGTGGGCTTTGCTCCGGCTGGTGGGGGCTGTGTCCCCTTCCCACCACACCCACACATGGAGGGCAAGTCCACAAGTTCATTTTACACTTCAATCCAGCGCCGAGGGCCCTTGGCCAAAGGCAGAGCTGTGCCCCGGGGCGCTGGAGGGATCCGGGGTGCGGGTGGGTGCTGGGACGTGTATGGCTTATCAGCTACGGGGCAGGGTGCTGGGTGGGTGCTCAGTGAGGGTGCTGTGCCTGCCCTGCCTCTCTGGACTTGGGGCTGGGCTTACTTTGGGCTGGGCTTACTTTGGGCTGGATTTGGGGCTGGCTGCCCAGTGGGAAGCACAGACAGGTCTTCTCACCCCGCTTGCTTTGCAGGGTGTGGAAGCGAGTGTGGATCAAGCCATAGGGCCTGGCCAGTCTCCCAGCCATCCAAGGAGCTGGAGAGGAGCCAGCTCCTCCACATGGACCGGAGACATCCAGTCCCCAGGCTGTGCCAGCAGGATCCATGTGCCCAGCTGGCTGCAGCCCCCCAGCCCCTCTCTCCTGGCTCCAAAGGCAGCGGAGGCTGGAGCAGCACTGGCTGCAGGCAGTGCATCCCTCTCCCAGCCTCTGCAGCCTGCAAAGCTGCATCCACCACCCACCAGCACCCAGCTCAGCATGGGGGTGATGCTGGGGGCTTGGGCCACGCCAGCACGAAGAATGGCTTTGACAGCAAAGTGGGTGAGCCCGGGGCAAGCACCGAGCACCCCGGTTTGCCAGCAGGGGAGGCAGGGGAATGTCAGCTCTGTGACTGCTCTGACCCCCCATTTGCTGAGTGGCAAGTGCCTCATTACAGTGCATAGTTAAAAATCAAGGAAGCGGTACAATAAATCTGAATTACAGTACATCTGAGCCATAAATACATTTTTTTAAGTATATACTTTTTTTTTTCTTCTCTTCTTCTATTAAAAATTAGTTTATAATCCTGATTCTATTCACAATGAACAATTTCATCATCACACACTACGGACAAAAAAATGTTATGGTGAACACAGCTGCAACTCCACGGCGGGAGCATGGGTAGGGCTGGGAGGGGGAAGAGGGGCTGGGGGGCTCCTAGGCTCACCCTAAAACAACCAGTCAGAAGCAGAGGGGGGACTAACGTGTGGCAGTGAGACATCAACACCATGGGGACTCACAGACAGAAGCAGCTTTGTTCAATGTAAACATCGATCAGGGGACAGCAGTCTCTCTCTCGCGGGCGTGCTCTCGCTCTCTCTCGCTCTCTCGCTTGCCATAGACTGAATAATTTCTTTGAAAACGTAAACATATTGGAAGTGCCTTGACTGAGGTATTGAGGTATTCCTCCAAGGTTAAGGCTGTTACCGATGCAGGCTGAGCTGGGCCTCCTGCAGCAAGCTGTCGAAATCCATGGTCTCGTACTTGCTTTTCACCGGAGCTGGGGAGGACTCGTCCGTGCCGCAATCTGGGGATGGCAGGGACAGAAGGCAGCCGGGTCAGGGATGGGGATCAGCGTCCTGTCTGCCTCATGGGGAGGGAAACTGAGGCACAGCTCACTGCCCTGCTACTGCACAGCCAGGCTGGACACAGCAGTGATGGTGGCACTGAAAAGAGCTGGGGCAGAGGGGCTGCAGCCAGGCCCAGCTGGGCAGGGCACACATCACTGGCATTCACTGCCAGGGGTGAAAAAATCTCCTGGGTGCAGCTGAATTTGGAGGGGCTGACACAGGGCCATCCCATGGGAGCTGTGCTGGTGGCAGAGCCAGCCTGCTCCACTGCCAGTCCTGTGCCAGGAGCTGAACACAGAGTGTCCCTGGAAAACCCAGGGAATTCAGCACACAGCAGAACTAAGGCTGCCTAATTTCACAGCAGCTTAACATTTTGGGTGTATGTTTTTGATTGGTGTGGTTGCATTTCACCTCTGCCTGGGGGCTTCCTTTCTCATCCTGTACCAGGATGAGCAGGATTTCAGGAATGAGCTGAGCTGTGCAGGAAGGGGGTGACTGGTGGCTCTGCAGAAATCAGGTGAGGAGCACTCAGGGGGCTTCTCTTAGGCAGAGGGGACAGCTCTGGCCCCCCTCCCCACAGCACTGCACAGTCACCATCTTCCTCATGGGGTGCTATCTGGTTCCTAATTTCTCTGTTCCCAAAATGGGAGGCTCTGGGATTTATTTAGATGAACCATGGACATTTGTGCCCACAATCAAAGTCAAGGGATGGCTGCTCTAAGCAGAGCAGATACTGCAAAGTGATAAAAAAATCAGGGAGTACTTGAATCAGATGGGGCATCTGGAGGTAAGTCAAGACTTGGGGCTTTATTTTCTGGACCTCAATCTTTCACTCATCAAGTAATATCCAGAACCCTTCAGCCTCTGCAGAGGGTACAGAAATAAACATGCAGTGTTGGTGAAACACCTGAAGCAAGGAGGGCTGGGCAAAGCCTAGGACACATTTCTCTTGCAGGACTAGCACAGGGTTTGGCTCCTGGCCCTCAGCTCAGGCTGCAGCCCTGGTGACACAGTCACTGAGACCTTGCAGAAGCACTGAAAGGATTAATGCGAGCACAGCACATTTCAGTGCTGTCACTTTGGCTCCAGAGTGCATGTGCAGCCTGGTGAATCTGTCCTGCAGAGCAGCAAACCACCCACATCACCTCCTGGGCTAATGAAATGTTGCTGACTGCCTTCTCTAATGCCTGGGCAGGGAGTTTTCTGCTGGAAAGCCTCCAGCACTGTGCAGAAACTCAGCAGACACAGGATGGGCTGTGCTCAGCTGAGACCCAGCACCCCAGGCTGTGATGCTACATTTTGCAGCCAGCAAAAACCCTGAGGCCTCACACCAGTTTCTTTCCTTCTCCCCAGTTCCCCAATCCACCTGTCCCATGAGCCATAGGAAAGGCAGTGGGCTTCTCCTGCAGGCTCTGCAGGCCTTGGGGATCCCTGTGTGACCAGGGCTCAGTGGTGCACTGTGCTCTAACAGCTCTGTGCTGATAAAAGAGACAAAGCAGCTGCTGCTTCCTCACCCAGGTCAGAGTATCTGGTCCAGAAGAAGCGCCCCAAGCCACCAGAGCTGAGCTGGAAGGAGGGCTCGTTCCTCTTCCTCAGCGAGGGGCCGTTCTTCAGCGATAAGGCGGCGTGCTCGGAGTACCGGTACGTGATGAAGCCGTACTTCTCCCCCCTGAGCAACCAGAGAATTCGAGATGTGATGAGCCCCACAGCCCTTGTGATGCAGCATTACACCCCTGGCCCATCATTCTTCCACTCCTCCACCCCACAGGTGCCCTTGGAGCTCTGGACACACTGAAAGTTCTTGACAAAAGCACCGAGACCGAGGGCTCGGCTGACCCAGGGGATTGATGTGGCACTGCCTGGCAGTGCTGTGGGGTTAGAGGAGAGGAGCTGCCTGTAGCTGTTGGAGCCCTGGGCCACAGCTCACTGCCCACCCACCTGTTAGTCCTGGTCAGGACCTGACACTCCACGATTTCACCAAACACCTCGAAGCGTTTCTTCAGCTCGCTGGAGCTCATGCTGCTGGAGAGGTTTCTGATGTACACCACCCGGCCTTCCCCCTGCCAAAGCAACCAAAAGCTTTCAGGCTTGGACCCTGCACCTCTGTGCTGCTGATGGAGGAGCCCCTGCAGCCAGACTGGGAAACACTGCCATGGACACAGCCTGACATCTCACAGTGTCACCCCCAGGACAGCCATAACCAGGCTGGAGCAGCCACTGCCCCCTTTTCTCTTTTAAAATTCTCCTGCATTCTTGCAGCTTCTCCTGGCAAATGTGGGATATAGTCCCAAGAATTGCCAGGGGCAAAATGCAATTGCATTGCAGGAAGAAGTGCCAAAGCAGCATGTGTGAGTGTGAATGTGTGTGAGAGTGTGTGTGCACAGCAGTAGGGAGCACCAATTTACCCTCCCATGTGCCCACTCCTCTCCCAGCTCCCACCATGTGCCCACAGGTTGTAGGTGCACGAGGATGCAGCAGGGCCATATCTGTGCCATCAGGGATTCCCCAGTTCACCCCACAAACTGCCAGTGCCAAGTGCACGGAGGCACCAGCGTAGGAGGCTCTGGGCATCCCTGTGCCAAGGACTCCGTGTGTTGCCAATCGCTGGCGGCTTCTGCTGCATGTTGGGTTTTCCTCCCCCCACCACCCCCTGTCCTTGTTTAACACTGGCCTCGCACCAAGGGATGCTGAAGCCAGGGCTAATGGGCTCCACTGCTGCTTTTTGGAGCAGGAGATGAGCCGAGGGCTGGCCTTGCTGTGTCCCCGTGGGGTCCCCCCTCACTTACGATGGCCTTTTCCCGTCTCTTCTTCAGCTGGCCCCGCTGCCCGCTGCTGCCCTGACACTGCTCGCTGTTCTCACACCTGCAAGGAGGGACAGGAGCTCAGCCTGGGGCTGGGGGAGCTGCTGGGAAAGCTTCAAACATCAGTGAGAAGCTGAGACACCTAGAGGAGTGGGTGAGCACTTGGGGGCACTGGGAGCCAAGGAGAGACAGGGGTCTGGACTCACTGGAAAGGACACTGCAAAGTTTCTTCTCATAGATGCCAGGGTGTCCCCAGCCAGCACCTGCCCCTTCCCAGGCCTGGGTCCAGCCCATGTCCTGCCACCCATGGAACCCCCTGGCTGCTTCAGTCCTCCACTGCTTCCTCAGACCATGGCTGACACTTGCAGCAATGGCTGATGCAGTACCAATTATTTTCACAGTTTTTCTTTCATTAATTAGCATCTTTACTGCTTGCAGCACCAATTATTTTCACAGTTTTTCTTTCATTATTTAGCATCTTTACTTCTTGTGCCAGCAGAGCAGAGAGCACTGTGGGTGCCCTGCATCACGCTGAAAACTGTGGGGACACAACCAGTGCCAATGTCCCCGTGTCCCCGTACCTGAAGGTGCGTCTGCTGGCAGGTGACCGTGACCGGCAGCACGAGGAGCCCGAGCTGGACCTGCTCCGGGAGCAGTAATGCAAACTGCTCCTGGAAAGGGCACTTCTCCTCAGGCACAGCTTGGAGTTGCCGTGCTCCTCCTCTTCCTCCTCCTCTTCCTCCTCATCCTCCTCCACGGGGGAGCCGCTCTCACTGCAGCTGTCCTCGAAGACGGTGTCGTACTCGGGGGTCTTGCAGAAGACCATGTCCTCGTCGTCGAGGGCACTGTCCAGAAAGCCAAAGTGCTTTGTTAAGCTGGCTCTGATCTCCTGGTCTCTCAGCTGCTTGACGCCGTCCTTCCAGAGCATCTCGGTGCCCGTGTCCTTGCCGAGCTCCAGCCCCTGGTAGTGGGCGGCCGGGACCCTCCTCTTGTGCTCCGTCTCCACCTGGCTCGGGGGCTCCCACGACTTGAGCACCTTCCTCTGCAGGGCAGGCTCGGGTTTCAGCACCTGGCAGTAGTCGTGGTCCCCGAAGGAGCGGGAGAAGGGCCGCTTGAGCAAGCCCTGCTGCTCGGGGAGCGGGCGCGCCCGGCTCAGGTGGGCGAACAGCTCCGTCCTCTCCGGGTGCTTCCTGGGGGCTTTCCGCGAGGCTGCCACGTCCCCGGGGCTGGGGGCCATCCCCTCCTCCTTCCCTGCCTCCTGGGGGATGTCTGGCTTGTACAGGTCCTCCTCGGCGGGTTTGTATGGCGGAGTGGTGGGCGGTGTGAGACCTGGACCCCCCAAACAAAGGGCAGGAGTCAGCTCTGCCCCCTCCAGCCTGCCCTGCCCCACCCCTGTCCTGGGCTGCCCCCACAGCCTCATCCAGTGGCACCTGGGGGAACAAGAAGGATGCCTTGATCCCAGTAGGGACCAGAGGACTCTCCCTTCCCTCCTGGCTCATGCAGAGCCCCCCTGAACATCTCCTCCCACCCCAAACACGTTCCCCTGAGCTGCTCCTGGTGCTCGGATGTGGCAGTGCACAGCAGGCTCCTGTGTCTGCACTGTGAAGGGGATGAAGGTGCCCCCTTGGCTGGGCAGGCTGGAATGATGCCTCCAGGCTAAATTTAGGGTGAATGAACTCCCTCCTAGAGTACATTTTTATAAAACTAAAGATTTCAAAGCATGTCCTACCTGCTGTCCCACACAGCTCCACGGTCAGCATTGGCTCAAAGTTTCTCTTCCCAAAGGTTGGGTCACTGGAGAAGAGCAGAAAACCAGGAAAGTGTTTAGGTGAACACAGCCCCAAAACCCAAAAGCAAGCTGAGAAAAGACTTCACACAAGCAAAGCCTCCCACTTTGGCTGGTGCCTAACAGAGTAACCCCACAAGGGCAGTGGGGTGAGCAGCTCCAGGGCACACACAAAATGCCCTGCCCTGGGCATGGGACTGTCCCAGCTCCTCGCACCCTGTGGCTCCCCACAGCACTGTGCCCAGCAGTGCAGCTCCCTGTGCTCTGCAAACACAGCTCCCTGTGCTGCCTGCAGGGGCCCTGCCCAGCCACACAACCCCAGGCAGTTTCCAGCCCCAGAATGGTTCATCCAGCCCCACTTGCACTTACGTTTGTGCCAAGGACAGCGTGAGACACCTGGGTGTTTCTGAAAGGCAGGAGAGAAGCAGGTTACCAGTGGGGCTGTACCCCTGCAGTGCCCACTGAGGGCTCTGCCCACCCCAGAGGGACAGCTCACACTGCCAGGGCTGAGCCACTCCTGCACTTGCAACTTGCTGGGGCTTTGGGGCACCACTGCAGCTGAACCCCAGAGCCCAGACCCAGGGAGAACCCACAGGGAAAAACCTGGAGGGATGGGGCAACCTGGTCCCTGCTGGGTTATGGCCACACCAACTCCTCCACCTCATTACAAGGATGGGCAAACTGAGGCAGAAGATGCTCATGGATTGAAAAAGCACCCCAAAAGAGAACTGCCCATGCATGGGACCCCACAGCCAGGCAGCACAGGGGGCTGCTCACAGCTCTCCTGCCAGCTGAGTGCCCAGCACCCGGGCAGCATCACTCGCCCACGGCAGGGATGGCACGGGCAGCACGGGCACGCCGGGGACAGCGAGCACAGTGACAGTGCCCAGGCCCCTCACCTGTCTGCTCCAGGATGGCACAGCGCCGGCTCTCCGTGGCCACCTCTCCATCCCCCAGGGAGCCCAGGCAGAGGGGCTGGGGCTCTGCCGACGGGGCCGTGCCCCCCACCTCCACTTCGGCCGCCGGCTCCTCGGCAGAGAAGCCCTCCAGCACCGGGCAGGGCGCGGCCTCCCTGCAGCCCAGGGGCACGGAGGGCTCGGCGTGGGGCTCCTCAAGGAAGGAGAGCCAGTGCCCGAGCTCGGGGTTGAGTCTCTTGGAGCGGCGCACGGTGTAAACAGCGCTGTCCTGCTTGAGGGGCGCCTTCCCCTCCTGCCTCCCGGCATCGTCCTCAAGGGCCCCCAGCTCCCGCGGCGCCTCTGCCTCAGGGCCCTGCCGGGGCTCGCCCCTCTCTGCTCTGGCTCTGGACGTGCAAGTCCCGCTGGCATCGTCCCCGTCGGGCGGCACGGGGGAGCAGGAGCCGGGCGGCCGTGCCAGGGCAGCGTACACGGGCTTGCCCAGGCGGTATGGCTTGCTCACATCGCACAGCAGGTCCCGCGCCAGCAGCTCCTTCAGGATGGAGAAGGACGCTGCGGGTTTCTTGCAGCTGCCAGCTGCCTGCCAGGCGCAGCCCGGCCGGCTCTGCCCGGGGGCACAGTCCGGTTTGGCTCTCTTGTAGGGGCTATTGCAGGGCTGGGGCCGGCCCTCGGCGGGGTCGCGGGCGGGCAGCTTGCGAGGGGGCAGGCAGTAGGTGTGCATGTAGCGGATCAGCTCCAGCACCGAGTGCAGCTCCCCCTCGCAGGAGAACTGGCTGCCCGGGCCGTCCTCCGCCGAGGACAGCGCGGCCGCCGAGTCGCCGGAGCTCAGCGAGTCCTCGCTGGAGTCGCTGTCGTCCTCGTGGTGGGCGCAGTCACCTGGGGACGGGTGGTGGCCGCTGCCGGGGCACTCCTCAGGTGCCTGGGGGGCTTTGGTCTGGGAGCAGGAGGTGCTGGAGGTGAGGTGCCGGTGCAGCTCCGTGCAGCTGCGGCTCTGAGCCTGCGGGACGCTCGCCCTCCTGTCCCGGGGACCCTCCACCTTCCGAGAGGAGAGAGGAGAGTCAGCTCTGAGCCCCCCAGCCACGACCCTGGGAGGAGGCTGACAGACCCCCCCCACACCCTCACACCCCCCAGCTGTGTCTCACCAGCACCCTGACCTCCCTGGGGTCAGCCCCGTGCCCCGAGTGCTGCCCCTCCTGCAGGCAGGGATGCTCCTTCTCCCCAGGAGGGATCTGCTGCTCTTCCCACACAATCTAATTGGCCAGGCCTAATGCACTGCACAATTACCATTAGCAAAGCAGGAAAATCTCTGGTGGCACCTTCTGCCGGGTTTCAGATCAGCTCAAGTGTTGGGGTGGGCTCTGCAGTACAACAGGCAGAGACTCCTGGCCAAAGGCCTTGGCTTGGGCTGAGAGTCAGCAGGGAAGGGGGTGAACAGAGATGGAGCACATGGGGTTTTCACAAAGGGGTGCTCAGGGAAGTTGGGAGAGACCAAACCCCCCTGGGTGCAAGTGAGATCAAGGTGCTTCTTAGCACAGCACAGAGTCTAAAGTTTTGCAGAGCCCAGACTGCATGAGACAGGGAAGGGAGCACTGCGGGTGACAGTCCCTGCCTGTTCCCAATGCCCTGCCCAGCCCAGAGGCTGCTCACAGTCCCCAACACCATCCTTTGGGCCAGCTCCCAGGAAGTGGGGGCTGCAGGCACCTCCCTGGAGGTGTGTGTGCTGCAGGGGCTCAGGGAGTACCTTAGTGCAGGGCCGTGGGGGCCGGGACTTTGGGGTCCCTGGGCGCCGGGCGCTCCCGTCCCGCTGGGCCTCGCAGCTCGGAAGGGATGGAGACAGGAGCAGCTTCTTCAGCTGCAGAGAGAAGGGGCAAGAAAAGGAGTCGGCATCGCAGTGAGGGCAGGAGAAAACACCCCTTGGCTCATGTGTGAGCCCGTCCATCCCCGAGCATCCCACCCAAAAATGGGGCAAAAAAATATCAGGCAGGGAGGGTTAGGGTTAGCAGTTCCCACCCCACGCGGCTGTGGGGCAGGTGCCTGGCTGTGTGCAGCCCTGTGGGGGTCAGGGTGTCCCCACAGCATTCAGCCCAGGGATCCCCAGGCAGGCTGGAGCAGCATGCAGGAGGGAATTTACTTCCCAGGGACAACCCCACTCGGGTCAGACACACAGGAGCTGCCGTGGCATCCCAGCTTCTCACTCCATCAGCTCTGCCCTGAGGTGACAGAGGCTTTGCACTGGTGTGAGTGATGGGTTTGGACAGATCGCCGAGTCCCCGTGTGAGGCTCATTTAGCCAAAACATCCAGAGAGGGCCTCGACTCATTAACGAGCTTTCAAGGCTTTTTGGAGATGCGAATCCCTGTGGGATCTGTCAGGATCTCCCCCAGCACCGTGTCACACCCATGGGCGCTGCAGCAGGGTTTTCCCCAGCTCACTGCAGTGCCACCCCTTCTGATGGCAGGGCCACCACTTTATCCTTCTACTCAACCCCAATTTTGGACAGGGGGAGGGAAAAAAACCCCAGACCCCACACCCAGCAACAACAATTGAGATTGTGCCCGTGTGGCGCTAACAACCGGAGGCGACAACAGCTCAACAGCAAGACGACTGCGTAGGCACCCGGGACTGCAGGAGAGACAGGTCTGGGGGGTTAGGGGCTGATAGAAAAGGGGTGCCCGGGTCAGGGTCTGCCAGGAAATGCCAGCCGGGGCACCCGAGGCTTTAGGAGAGAGGCTCCTGTGGGTGGAAGCGCCCAGCTCCCGTTCCCCCCCGCCCCTGCAACGTATACATCCTATATATACACATATAGGTCATGTGTGATATATACCCCTGCGCGGGGCGTGGGCGGTGGAAATGCACGCTGTCACCACTGGATGTCACTCCTCCCCTTGGCTGGGATTGTGGGGACACCCCGGGACCGGGCTGGGGGCTCTGTGAGCCGCAGGAGGGAGCAGGCTGGGTGTCCTGTGCCAGGGAGCCTCCCGGGCACGGCAGGAAACGCTCCCAGTTCAGGGAGGGGAGCAGGGATGGAGCCCCAGTATTGCAGGGAACCAAGGGGGATGCTCCAGCCACCAAATCTGGAGGGACTGGAGGCCACACAGCCCCCGAGGAATGGAATGCACAGGGAGGGTCAAACCCTCCCACTGACAGCCGAGGGCAGGGGCTGACCCTCAGGCAAGCCCCTCTTGTGACAGCAGGGAGCTCAGCCCAGGGCAGAGCCAGGGGGAAAAGCCACCACTGCCCGTGGGCACGGGGCTGGGATGAGCCAGGGAGAGCCCCGGGCAGCCCCACGCCTGCAGGTGGGGTTAAAAGCAGGTGTGGGTGTGCCAAAGCCGCCCCCAGCCCTCTGGCACCCGCCCCTACCCCGCCCATGTAGGTTTGTATACACACAGCTGGTTCCCGTGAGGATGGTGATGGAGGTGACAGCAATGATGCAGAACATGTATACGTATACAATACAAGTAATATGCTTTGGTATTGACGGTTAAAGAGAGTTTTAAGCCTAGAATGAAAAAATTCAGACCTTGGCTTCCTATCATACCCATGCAGCCGGCTTATCTGGGGCTCATCCAAATCCACCTTAAACAGTAGGAAGTGGGTTCTTACTAGAGACAGCTCATCACCCTCGGGGGCCGGGGGGCCCCCCGTGACCGGGGCGGTGGGTTTGGGGGAGGGGGCAGGTGAGGTGGTGGCAGGGCTGAGCGTGTCCCCCTCTTCCATAGTTCGGAAGGCAGCCAGGCCCATGTCATCTCCCTGAATATCATCCAAAGTCTCGGTCAGGGCTGCCAGCAGCGCTTCGTTCTCGCTGTCTATTATCTGAAAGGAGCAGCAGAGAAGAAAGAGGGGGTTAGGCTGGGCACAGGGTCCCCAGGATGCTGGATGGGGGACAGGGACCAGCAGAGCCACACCAGCTCCCACACTTCCCAGGGACCCCACTGTGAGACCTGGGAGAGGAGAGTCCGTCTGTCCACCTGCACCCCAGCAGGAAAAGAATGAACCAGAGCATCTTCTCTCCCCACAGGGCCTCCACCCCACCATGAGGCAAACAGCAGCAGATAAAGGATCTGTCAGGAAAAAGCTCCTGGCCCAAATCCTCCTGACTCTGCAAGTGCAAGAGCTGTGAGCTCAGCCAGGGCTGCCCAGTGGACAAGAGGGCACAGCCTCCCAGGAGGGCACAGGGGAAGCTCTGCCCGGGCTGCACCACTGGCCTGATGCCACAGCTTGTGACAAGAACCACTCCGAGTTTTGTGTTCACTGAGAGCCCCCAAACGCAGGCACCTCCAGCTGCTCAGGGGCTCTCAGCCCTCCCACACTGGTGCACCCAGTGCTCTGTGAGAGATCCTGTCCAGAGCACAGCCCCAGTCACTCCCCAGTCTCCCATCAGCACCCCAGATCACCCTGTTCACCCAAAACTGGCTCAGGGGAGCTGTAGTGCAAGGCCCATCTCACCCAGGGCCAGGGGCTGCTCCCGCCTCCTCCCTGCCCACTGCTCCAGCTTGGCTTGGGCCCCTCCTTTCTCCTGGGCTGTGGCTTTGCTGATGCACCTCCAGCCTTCCCAGTGCCCTCCCAGTCCCACCCAGCCCCATGAGTTCCCTTCCAGTCCGGCAACACAGTGCTGAAGGCCAGGAGAGGATGCAGAAGCTGAGGAATGGCTGGAGTGAGCCAGCAGCTCCTTCTTTTTGGTCCTCCTCCATCACAATCTGAATGTAAACCATGTCCAAGGAGAGGCAGGCTACCATCAGTGATAAAATTAGCACGGGGGTAAAGTCAAGCTCACAGGCAGGACTGCTGCCTGCACACAGCCTCCTGTGTTTCTCTCCTCTTGTTTGAAAATTAAACATCTTTTGTTCCATGCCCTAACCTTGCTCGCAGTTCCTAGAGCAGGCTCCAGGGAAAGGCAGCAGGATGCTCCATTTTTGGCTCAGTTTCTTTTCCTCCTGTTATTGGCACGAGATTGCTGTGCATACAAGTTCAGTGGGATACATTTCATCATACTCCACTGCTCCTCATCGGCCTGGCTTTTGCATTTCTTTTCTGTTTATCTTTTCCCCAGGAAGTTCATGGAAAATATGCATCTCGTGATGAAGGTCCCTCAGCTGGACTGGACCATTTTCAAGCACAGCATCAGCCCAGCATAAAAGCCAGAGGGTTGTTATTTTATGGGCAGGTTAGAAAATATTGAGGCTTTTTTTTCTCATCTCCATGTTTAAATAGAAATAATCCTCCTCCCAAAATGTAACCCAGGGTTGGTGATTAGCTGGTACCAGGGGGTCACAACCTCCTTGTGCAAGGGGTAAAGGTTAGGAGGGCACAGAGACCCCAGCCCCAAGGACAGGCACATCCAGGGCATGGCACAAGCTTGGGCAGGGCGAGGGGGCTGCCCAGCCTGCTCTGTGCCCAGTCCCCTCTGCATCTCCCTGCTTCCAGCCTGGCTGTGCTGTCAGACAGCCCTGCCCTGCCCTCACAGCTCCAGGAGATGAGAGACAGGGGCAGAGGGACATGGAGCAGTCCTGCCTGTGCCCAGGAGCATCCCCTGGCCCAGGAGCATCCCCTGGCCCAGCTCTGCACCGTGCTGGCACAGCCACGGATCCATCCCGGCCCAGAGCCGAGCAGAGGAACACAGGGACCACAGGGACAGAGGGGCTGCCAGAGCTGGGAAAACAGAGCAAGGGGCTGGTTCCTGTGAAGGAACAGAGCAAGGGGCTGGTTCCTGTGAAGGAACAGGGTGAAGGGGCTGGTTCCTGTGAAGGAACAGAGCAAGGGGCTGGTTCCTGTGAAGGAACAGGGTGAAGGGGCTGGTTCCTGTGAAGGAACAGAGCAAGGGGCTGGTTCCTGTGAAGGAACAGAGCAAGGGGCTGGTTCCTGTGAAGGAAGAGAGCAAGGGGCTGGTTCCTGTGAAGGAACAGGGTGAAGGGGCTGCTTCCAACTCCTGGGAAGGGAACTTTGCAGTGCTGAGACCCCCGCACTGCCGCCCTGGCATTCCAGGAATGGAACAGGACACGCTGCACCCCGGCTGCAGTTCCAGTGAATAATCCAGCACAGGAGGGCTGCCTCAGCAGCCTCCTCCTCCTCCTCCTCCTCATTAGCCCTACTCCGCTTGCCCCATTTAGAGCCGGTGCACAAATTAATGGAGCACTAATCAGCTGGGGAGGAGATATTAATAGCCCTGTGTGTGTTCCCTCCTGCCAGCCTCCCTCTCCCCCTGCTTCCATCCTGGGGTGCCTGGAGAGCTCCGTGCTCCCTCCTGCCTGCACCCAGGGGGGATGGGGTACCTGGAAGAGCTCGGAGTCGTCGGTGCTGTACTGGCTGGAGTCGGTCTCTGAGTGCTCCCCTCCCCAGTGCAGCTCATTGAAGCAGCCAGCAGAGTCCAGGTCGCCGGCGTCCAGCTGGGACAGATCGATCTCGGGGAAGTCCGAGTAGAGGTGCTCCTCTCCAGACACCTCATACTGCACACAGGAGAGGAGAGAAATGCTTGAGACCAGAGGAGCAGGCACTGAGGACAGCAGCATCCCCCCCCGTCACCCAGAGATCCACCCAGTCCTGCTCCAGCCCCTCTTCCCACACAGGTCCAGGCACTGGCAGGGTGTGGTGGGCACCTTTGCACCCACTCAGCCTGGCACTGGCCACTGGTGCAGCCCCACAGCTCCAGCACACCCCCGCTGGTGTCCCAGCTGTGCCACAGCTGGAGCTGCTTGGGAAGAGCCTCATCCCTTCCCAGTGAGCAGATGGTCAGGGCACAGCACAGCCACAGCACAGTCATGGTAGGGGCGATTCCTGCCCCTGGTGCCCTAAAAGTGACATCCAGTGGTGGCCTGGGGACCAGCACAGGACAGCTGGGACAGCAGCACACAGGGCCAGACTCACAGCTGCTGCTCACCCTGTCCCACCACATGGCCCTGGAGCACTCAGGACACCCCTCAGGGAAGCTGCAGATCCCAAAGCACCTCCAAGGCAGCCCAGAGCTGCTCCCTGCTCCCTGCAGGGTGAGGACAGCATGGAAATGAATGGATGTCTGAGAGCACTCAGGGTGATGTGAGCTAAAAATCTCCATTTAACCACAGAAAGGAGCTGGCACCTGCCCCACTTGGGTTCCAGCCACGAAACCCCAGAGCTGCACCCAGTGCCCGAGGGAGCTGGGGCTGGCACCAGCACCCACTGCCCGCCCTGGCATCTGCACCGTGCCTGGTTCTGCCTCAGTGTCAGGGTAAAACACAGGGAAGGGTCTGGTGAGACTCCTCCCAGCACTGCCTGTCCAAGGGGAGGCTTCTGGCAGTGAGGGAAGCAAGTTTATTTACAGAGCAAATGGATTTTGGAGCAGGCAAACATCTGAGCATGTGAGGGAGGCTGTGGGGGAGCATGGGGGCCCCTCCTCCTGAAGCACCCTGGAAGGGTCTCCTCCATCACTCAGTGGGAAGGAAAAGGGATTTCAAACCCAGCTGCAGGAATGGGAAAGACAGCTTTTCTCTCTTTCTCTTCTCGTTTTTTGCTTTTCAAATTGGGATAATCTGGGATTACTGGCTGTGTTCCCCCAGGCTGAGGAGCCTGTCTGCCACGCTCCCCACCACATCCAGGACACTCCAAAGGACACTCCTGGGCACACACTCGCTCCCTTTTTGCATTTCCCACCTGCTTCCCACCCTGCCCCATCCCAGGGGAGGTGGAAAACAGGGAGAGCACCTCGGAGGGCACAGCAAGGGCAGGGAGAGTGGTTTTATGGCCTGAAGGTGAGCCAGTGCCATGCCCCAGCCATGCCCAGGGGCTGCAGGGGATGCAGGGAGCCCCAGACAAAGCTCTGGGAGCTGCCCCTGCTCTGGGGATGCTCTCCCAGCACCCTCCCTTCACCTTTTTGCTGGAGGGATGTGTATCAGGTAGATCCCACAAGTGTGGTGCCACAAAGAGTATCGGGCACCCCTGAGGGCTCTGGGAGCTGAAACTCCTCACTGGGCCCCCAGGGATGGGGATTTTCTAACCTGTCCTGCAAAAACCTCTGTTCCCAGGTGTCAGAGCACATGCAGCAGGTCAGGAGTCCCCACTGCCAGCTCTGGGGGACACAGATGCTGCCTTCCCCCTTGTTCTGTCCCTCTGCCCAGGCTGCTCTGGGATCAGATGTCCTCTGGCCTTTCAGATGTGTCCCTTACCTGCTGCGGCTTGTCCCTGCCTTCCTGTCCCTGCCTTCCTGTCCCTGCCTTCCTGTCCCTGCTCCAGAAAAAGTCTTGTGACAACTTTGTCTCCCCCTTCTCCCCAAATCTTCCCATGGGAACACAGGCACAGGTTTTTATTTTTAGCCAAGCCATACATACACAGCTATACGTGTGTCTGTGTGTGCGTGTGTGCGTGCAATTAAAAATAGCAGAGCAGCCAAATTCTCCTGCTCCTTTTGATATGCCACAAGGGAAAAGATCCTGGTGCTGAGATCACAAGGAGCAGCTGACACCAGTGCTCGGGATGTCTTTTGATCAACTCCACAGATGTGACATGTCCCCATTGGCAACAGGGCTGGGTAAAAATAAACCCCTGCAATCCAAGGCTGCTGAGCTGCCCTCTCTGGGCACTGGGGGCAGGACTGCCCTGCCACTGGCACTGGCACTGCCACTGTCACTGCCACTGCCATTGCCATGCTGGGGATGCTCCCAGCTTCCTGCCTCCCACGGGCCAGGAATGCCCAAACCTCAGCTCTGTCTGTGGGGAGCCTCCTCCTCTCCTCACTGAAAGACACGGGGACAGCCTTTGCTTGGTGGGGCCACCTGGATGGGCACCCCAGCCAGTCCCCTCTGCTGGACAGTGTCCCTTACCCAGCCCAGCCACCGAGGACCTGGGCTCCAGAGGGAGCCCACCACTCCCAGCCCATGGCCCTGAGCCCCTCTGGGCTGTTCCCAGGCCTGGGGAAGGGGCAGCCCCTGCCCAGCTCGGGGGTGGCAGCAGCAATGGGGACACTGCCTGTGGGCACGGGACCTCATCTGCTCTGACCGTCCCTTTTCCCACCCTCTGCACTTCCTGCTGCCTTGGGAGAGGAGTGAACTTTTGTTCTAATTTTACTCGGGACTTTGTAGGAAGATCAGCCATGGGTTCTTGGTGTGCAGCCAGCAAACACCCATGGAGACATGCTCAGAGCCTGGGAGGCATCCTCCAGCCCAGACACCTGGCTGTGCTGCAGCAAGGCTGCCACCAGAGCTCTGCCATGTCTGAGCAGCCCCTGCTCCAGGGAGGAGAGCTCCTGCTGCCTCCTGGGCCAGCATCCCTCTGGCTCTGGGTGCTCTGGGTCAGCATCCCTCTGGCTCTGGGTGCTCTGGGTCAGCGTCCCTCTGGCTCTGGGTGCTCTGGGCCAGCATCCCTTTGGCTCTGGGTGCTCTGGGCCAGCATCCCTCTGGCTCTGGGTGCAATGTGCTCCCACTCCCTGTCCCTTTGCCATGTCCCCAGTCTGTCCTTCCCAGGGCAGTGGCAGCACAAGAAGCTGGCACAGGGTTAGATCCATCTCCCTGCCTGATTGGGAGGGTGTTCAATGCAGGCCACAGTCTCTGGTGGGCCCAGAAGCTCTGGGGACATGTCCTGGGCTGGAGCCACAGCCACTGGCTGGAGCCACATCCCAGGATGTCCCAGCTCAGTGATGGCTCTGACGCCCTGGGGACAGCAGGTGGGACATGTCCCTTTCAGTCCTTCTGTTTTGGAGCAGTGTGAACCCTGGCACGTGAGGTCTTATCTCTGAGGAGACACCAGACTCCTCCCCAAGCCCAACTCTAATTCAAACACTGGATTAACGAGACAGGAAATGTTTTCCTCTTTTTCAGTGTCAACCTGGGCTCCCCAAACAAAACCCCTGCAGTCAGCAGGACTGGAGAGGCTGCCTGGGGTCAGCTGCATCCATGAGCCCAGGGAGAGCAGGAGCTGCCAGGGAACAGCAGCCTGAACAGGGCAAGCAAGGGCTCAGCTCATTGTGTGCTCTGTGAGCTGCCTCAGGAGCTGGGGACAGCGCAGTGACCGTGACACAGAGCCCTGCAGGTGCTCTCCTGTCTCACTCCAGCCCTGCCAGAAATTACCCTTATCTGCACAAGCCCTGGGTCCAACCCCTTGAAGTCGTGGCCAAGAATTCTGGCGTGGGCTGTGGGCACAGGGGGATGGCACACGGGGCTGGTGCTCACTCAGCCTGCACAGGGACAGCCTCTGAAGTGCTGCTGGCCAGGGGCAGCACCTTCCAGCAGCCTCATCCTGCATCCTGCCCCTGTGACAGGGGTGCCCTGTCACTCATGTGCCATGGGAAAAGGGAAGCAAAGAGGCAGCACCTCGGAGGGGTTGAGGGAAGCAGCCAGGGACAGCAGAGCCCACTCCTCACTGGGAGCAAACAGTGACTCAGCTCCTCCCTGCAGAGCCAGGAGCCTGCCCAAGGCATTAAGGGATAAATATCCATCCACCCGAGCTGCAGGCACTGCCCCACAGCAGCCAGCAGAGTCAGGCTGGCACCCACAGCAGCAGCAGGTGAGAAATGCTGAGAACACCAAGTGCTGCTCCCAACCAGCCCTGCCCCGGCCCCAGGGCAGCTTCTCCCTCCTCACCCTCAGCAGGACTCGGGAAAGGAAAGAAAATCCTTGGGCAGGGGTTTTGCAGAGTTGTCTGGGCTTATCAGGGAAATCCAGAATCACAGACTGCTTCAAACGGGGATTACAGCCTGCAGGGAGATAGCAGGGTGTTCCTGGGACGGGCTGGCACCAGGGGGCTGGCACTGGCTGCCTGCTGTGGCACTGGGCTGGCTGCTGTGGCACTGGCTGCTGTGGCACTGGCTGCTGTGGCACTGGGCTGGTGTGGCACTGGCTGCTGTGACACTGGGCTGGTTCCACACTGGGCTGCTGTGGCACTGGCTGCTGTGGCACTGGGCTGGTGTGGCACTGGCTGGTGTGACACTGGGCTGGCTGGTGTGGCACTGGCTGCTGTGGCACTGGGCTGGTGTGACACTGGCTGCTGTGGCACTGGCTGCTGTGGCACTGGCTGGTGTGACACTGGCTGGTGTGACACTGGCTGCTGTGGCACTGGTTGGTGTGACACTGGGCTGGCTGGTGTGACACTGGTTGGTGTGGCACTGCCTGCTGTGACACTGGGCTGGCTGCTGTGACACTGGCTGCTGTGACACTGGCTGGTGTGACACTGGCTGGTGTGACACTGGGCTGGTGTGACACTGGGCTGGTGTGGCACTGGCTGGTGTGACACTGAGCTGGTGTGACACTGGCTGCTGTGACACTGGGCTGGTGTGGCACTGGGCTGGTGTGGCACTGGGCTGGTGTGGCACTGGCTGCTGTGGCACTGGTTAGTGTGGCATTGGGCTGGTGTGACACTGGCTGGTGTGGCACTGGCTGCTGTGACACTGGGCTGGTGTGACACTGAACTGCTGTGGCACTGGTTGGTGTGACACTGTGCTGGCTGCTGTGACACTGGCTGCTGTGGTACTGAGCTGCCTGGT